CATTTTATAATCTGTACCTTTTCCGCTACAGTAAACAACATCTTAGTTTTTTTTTGCTAGGGTTAACTGCAAAGCGATGCGACCAACTTCGCCTCTCAACAATCTATGAACGATTCAATTTGTGCATTACCCCTACGCTTGTTTATCCCCCACTTAACGACACCGAATATACACACACACGTACACTTATACGTACGTCCGTGTTGGGTGTATCTCCTAAAATTAAAGTTACCGATCTGTATATGTGGCACAATTGTTGTGGCACCAGAAAAATAATGTTAAAAATTTAGTCGTAGTGTAAATTGATATAAATAAAGCATTTTATGACATGTTTCATGGAAAACAACGATGAAGACGTTGACATGTTCTCTCCAGTGTGGGATTAAGCAACGTGCTCATCACATTAGTGATGATACACTAGTGCCTGCAGAGATAATTTCATACTTCTTGTAAATTCAACTAAGCACAACGAGCAGTACCTATCTCGATATAATATTGTAAACATGAAAATGGGCTTGACCGAAATAGACCTAGGATCTGATTTAGGCTCATCTTACTTTGGTGTTAAAATATCTTTTTGTGTTGGTTTCGACTGTAGCTAGACCAAGCAATTAATTGCTGAAAACTTAACTAGCATACAGAAGCTAATAATTAAGCCACGCCAAAAGAGTGAGTTACAATTCTTTTGAGATCGTAATAGTCTCGCCAGATAGTTTTTTTTGTGAAAAATCGACCAAGAGCTACCGATTGTGATAAAGGAGATACCACTTGTCAAAATCTTATGCGCTGTGTATTTGGCAAAGCATGTTTTAACCTGAAAAATTTTTTGTAATAAAAAAATATGCAGATAAAACGTCTTTAAAATTTATTCAATATACTTTTTTCTTCTATCTCATTAATACCACAATATACGTGAGTACTTGCCCTTGCCTTCAAAATTGGATCTTATTAACCCTAGAAAGCTAAACTGTTCAAAAGCTAAACTATCGTAAAATTTACGACTAGAAAAAAAATTTAACAAACAATACTTCTAGATACAAATTTTGACATTAATGAATACAATTAGTCAAAATATATCATAATTCATCAATCAATTCTTTGTGGTACGTTTTGAAGAAGGTCATGGGCCCTGTCTGACACCGAACCTTTCAAGATATCCGCAATAGATTGAAAGAATTTGCGAGTCAAAGTTGGGTACTGTAACCGCTGTTGAAACCATGGCTCGATAAGGCTGTGGTGTATTTGCATGGCAAATTTTCTTGTTGAAACCGTTTTCGACTTTTCACAACATTAGTGACGTAAATGATATATTTCGAAACTTTATTGTTTCTTTTACAGGCAATTAATCATATTTAAGTGAAATCGCGACAGTTGAAATACATCAAAACAATTCTTAAAAGCATTACAAGATGGATGAAGAGTTATGAACTTAAAAACTTGGTTTTAAGTTCATAACTCTTCATCCATCTTGTAAATGATATATGCATTCACAAGTACAATGTTCAGAATTCCATACAATACGCACAAAGGCCACCATTTAGTCTTGCAAACGGCTAAAGCCGAATGATTTTAGTTCTAGATAGAGTGTTAGTTCTAGTGACAGTGTTAAGTAGCGCTAGTAAGCACCAGATAGTGCTAGATTGTATATTGTTATTGAAGTAAAACTAGTACTAACACTAGACCTAGAACTAGAAACATTCGGGTTTAGCCGTGCATTTCTTATGACAGAAACTCAGAGTCACCTTTTGCAAGCAAAAGTTTTCCTCTGTACTATTAGTAATTTCGTAACTAAGGTTACTGCATTCATATATTGCGAGTTACATGAAATTCCTGGTATAGAAACAATTACCTACTCTTTTCCAACTCGTATAATTTTTGGGTTATATGCCAATTCCAAATTTGAACCATCCTGTACATACAGAGTACATTAAAAACAATATTCTAAACGAATATGCCATGTAAAACTCTGCAAAATCTTTCAAACGATTTTCCTAGTATCAGTAGCCTTTTACAGAAACTGGTTATTTCTTGAATCTTTTGGGCTTGAATGTGGCATGAACTAAATCCCTGTCAAATACAGTATTGGAAAAAAGTAGAGCAACTTTTAATTTTTATAAATTAAATTTGAAATTAATGCTTTTCCTTAGGATTTACACTACTATGGTAGTGTATATTATATAGCATTTATGTAGTGAAGATTTCACAAAGCTAGCCTTATTTTATTAGAAATAAAATAAAATTACAAAACATGGGTTGGAGAAAAGTGAAACAACTTTGCTAAGAAATACAAACATGTGGCAAATAAGAAAGAGTTTTTGATACGTTCGAAAAGACCAGTCTTAAACATTCCTTGTGGTGTAGCTGTTTGTAAAACTGTAAAACAAATGGTTATTAATGATTTTAAAAATTCTTTTTCAAATTTTAAAGGTTCTCTTTACACAAATGTGTAGCATCGCGAATTATTAAACAATATCGTGAGACGGGACTTGTAGACTTGAAGAAAAAGTCTGGACGTCCCAGAAAAACCAATGGATGCGTTGATAGAATAATTATAAGAACAGCTAAAAAATATCCATTTTATTCTTCAGCCAAAATTAAGGCTGAGTTACAAGAAACACACAACTTGGAGGTATCAACACGTACAATACGCAATAGATTAATTGAAAATAAACTATTTGCCCGAAGAC